CTCAGGCTGCCTTAAGGGCAGGTCTGGTAAGATGTGTGGAGCTGGGGATCGAACTGCAATATCCTGAGCCTGACTGTGTTTGCATAAGAAGGCGCTTAAACAACTGAGCTAACTGGCAGGCCCCTTATTTTTTATTTTTATCTTAATTTTTATTATTTATGTATTTTGTACTGAAGATAGAACTCAGGGCCTTGCACTTGCAAGGCAGGTGCTTATGCCACTCTGTATTTTAGAACAGAAAAAGTAATGGCGTCAGGTGGATAGAGTAGTGTCTCCTGCGTCTTACAAGTATCCATCTAACTGGGCTTCACCCCCACTCTCCAGTAGGCCTTGCTGGAGAGCAGACCTTTCTGACAGTGCTTTGGGGAAGAAGGGCTGAGAAGTAAGAGATACACACAGTTCTGCTTTCAACTAGAACAGTGTTTGCTTTGCTAAGCACAAAATGTGACAAAAAGAAACCCAGTGGCCAAGAAACAAAATAAAGGTCTGTTGATGTCTATAAAAGACCAAGTGAGGAAACCTAGCCTTGATAAACAAGAAGACCCTTCCTGTCTGCACTGGGCTCCCCCTCTGCCTGTGCCTGGAAATACCTGAAACCATGCAAGCACAGCGACTTCCTCCTGGCTCGGGAGTTGGGTCCCGATGGGATGAGGGAGCTCATACTTACTATGCAGGAGATTTATTTTGAGTTGATATTTATTTATTTATTTATGTGTGTGTGTGTGTGTGTGTGTGTGTGTGTGTGTGTGGCCAGCTCAGCCCACCAGGGGGCGGGGCTGGCTGGCATGTGGTGCTGGGGGATTGAACCGCGGTCCCTGTGCTTTGCTTAGCTTAGCTTGTTCTACGTAGGTGCTTTAGACCACTGAGCCATCTCACCAGCCCCTTGAGTTGATTATGAAACACATTTCACCTTTGCTCATGGCTCCCATGTCGGCAAGCCCCCAGAGCCCACTCCTCCTTCCCCCAGGTCTTCCATGTCTGCCCCTGGTCACAGAGTCCTGGCCTAGCCCTGGGTTCTGGGATGGGATGTGACTCAGCATGGAGCAGCTGATTTGTTCCTGTTTAAGCCTGCACCCTTCCAAAGGGCTGGTCTAAGGGTTCCTACAAGTGACAGCACAGGTGCAGATGTGTCGGGTTTTGTCAGGAGAGTGACCCGTTCTGGCACCTCCACCCTGCCCTGAGGACAGATGGCCATCACCCAGGGCTGGGGCTGGTTCCAGGAGGTGGCCTCTCCCCAGAGTTCTGTGTTTTCCCTCACACACATGGAGCTGGAAAAGGAGCCAGGCAGGATCCAGGGATTTGGGGGAAATGGATCTCTTAGCCAGATCCGTTTTATGTTGTGTCTTGTATCTACTCATACAAACTGAGGAGACAGAACCACACTGGGAAGTTGGCGCTAGAGGTGCTCTCCCCCAGCGCTTGCTCTCAGTGATCTGCATGCCTCACAGGCCAGGTGCTCTGTAAAAGCCCTGGACCTTGATGATGGCTTTGGGGCGCTGGCCCCAGGGGAAACTCCCGTAGTCATAGCCACACTGTCTCCATGCCTGGTGCTTCAGGCTGCAGGCGGACACTGCGAGGAACAGAGGACCCAGGGGACCCAGCAGCCCCACCTGAGGGACCCTCGCGGCCATGGCTGGCCATGGTGATTCATCTTTCTGAGTTCATCGTCAGCATTTAAAAAAATTATTTATTTATTTGGTACAGGATCTCATTATGCAGCTCAGACTCATAGTGATCCTCCTGTCTCAGCCTCTCCAGTGCTAAGATTACAGGTGTGTGCCACCATACCTGGTATCAGGGCCCTGGGCGGGCACTGCATGCGGTACCAGGGATTGAACTCAAGTCCTTGTGCTTGCCAGGCAGGTGCTTAAACCCCTGAGCTATCTCTCTAGACCACTGTTAGCATTTTTAAATGGCCTGGGGGGCAGGTTTCAGAGTTACACCGTGAGAAGTGCTTTGGGAGTTCATTCACCCTAGAAACTTCACTATAATTCAATATTATGAACATATCTCTATATCTGAAATATAAGTGATGTAATTTCTACTAAAAACAGGTGTTTCTATTTTGGGCAATTTTATTCTAGTTACTTACCAAACTACTATATTTTTCCATTTTAGGTTAACTTATATTAACTAATACAATAAAAAGCATTACATTTATAAAAATGATTTAGGGACACTAAATAAAAATCAGGTTTGAGCTCTTAGAAGTCATTCCATGCAACTCTCTCATTTTGCAAATAGAAAACTGCTTCAAATCTCTGAAGACTAGCATGCTTCCTTTTTGTAACGTTTGTGCCAGTCCCAAGTTCTACTTTGTTCTGGTAATCTAGACTGGAAGCCAGGGCCGTGAATATGCTTGCCAAGCGCTCACCCATGAGCCCCTGCACCACTGTCTGCCTAATGCAGAAGATGGCTCGCCACCTCTTTGCGCATCAGTGTTTTCCATGGCTAGGACACACTGGATTACGCAAGGCCTCAGAGAGGACTGAGGCAGGCCTGAGGCAGAGCAATGGGTGGATGAAGTCACACGCGACAGGAAGAGAGGGCACAGAGGCCCTGGTGGAGCAGAGGGGCAACGTGGGCCTGGTCAGGCACAGGTCCCTCTGGGATGCCTGGCTGTGTCCAAGGATGTTTCCATGAAGCTACGGGGCCTGCTGAGGAACCCATGCAGGAGCAGGTAGTGGTCCTCAGGACTACTGAGAACACAGGGCACCTCATGACGCTAGCCAGGAGGCACAGAGGGTGGAGAGAAGCGCTCAGTGAGCTGAGGCTACTCTAGGGGCACCCCACAGAGCACTGAGAGAACTTACCTTTATCCCTCCCCAGAAAACAGGGCGGAAGGCTGGCTGCATCTTGAACAAGGTCAATAAACATGAGGTGAAACTGTCATCTCCTTTTCTGCACGTGAGCAGGGAGACAAACTGCATGCAAGGCCACAGAGGCCAGACTGGAGCTTTAGAGACTAGTTCTGGGTAGGACAGCAAAGATGTGGCTCAGCCTGGGCTCAAATTCACCCGTGTACAAAAATATACTCAGCTCAGCCCCCGAGCCCCCAGGGAGCTTCCCAGACTGCAGGAAATAAGTGGGGGGGGGGGCGCCCGCCCCTGCTAACCTTCAGTCGCGCCACGAAGTGCGGGGCGATGCTGAGCTCTGAGGCCGGGTTGCCCAGGACGATCTCAAAGCGGTACTGCAGGCCCAGCTGGTCGCGCACCTCCTGCAGCCGCTCCTGGGCCAGGACGGCCAGCTGTACCGAGGGCACCCTGATCATGAGCATGTGACCCCGGCCGCTCGCGTTCTTGCCCGGGGAGCTGATGAGGTCGTCCACAATGCTCAGCGTCTCGGGCGTGCTGTGGTCACGCAGCGCAGCCACTGTGGTGAGTGCCATCAGCGCCTGCGCATACTGCTGGATGAGCAGGTAGCAGCGCACGACCATGCTGTGCAGCCGCGGGTACCTGCGGGGCACAGGGAGCGATGCTGGACCGGACGAGGGACTGAACTCAGGCCAGGCTGGTGCTGCGCACTGAGCCATCTCCCCGGCCCCTCATTTCAGTTTTTTCCTGTTTCTCTTCGCCTGATCCTAGGACGGTTTGTTCAGTAGATGGTTTGTGAATAATCGTGGCCAGTGGGAAGAATCTGCATGATGGAAACGCCTGTCTGCCTCACAGATCCGGCCCTGAGCCCGCGACCCCCGCTGAGAAACAGCACGCTGGGCGGAACCTCTGTCAGGCTAGATAAAGGCCTCCCTACTTTGGGGTTCACGGTCAGAAAAAGAAAAACTGGGAATGTGATCTGGAGCTAAGACAGGACAGAAGGGTTCTTGGCTTTAGGCTGCTCTGGGCTCTGGTGAGGCCTGCCTGTGGCCTTCCCTGCCCATGTTTGTCCTGGTGAAGCTGGGTCACCTGAGGACCAGGGGGACCTGGCGGCCACAAGGGAGGGGCAGCAGCTGGGAGGGCGGCTGCATGGGGTCAGGGAAGCCGGTGCCCGGGCAGGTGACATCAGTGAGCAGAGGCCCTGGCCTTGGCCCATTCTCCCGGTGGCAGCTCGCTGTGCCGGCAGCTCAGGCATGGTGTCCATAGAACCCCAAGGGATGCGCTCATCTTGGGAAAGGCTCTGCTGACCTGGTCTCATCTGCACGGGTTCGTCAGCCTCCCTTGGGGCCATCACAGCCTCTGACTCTGATCTGCCTGCAAGTGAAGCAGTGAACAGTGCGAAGCCCGTGCTTACCTCTCCAGGAGTGTGGTCACCATCTTCTCAAAGGTCTCGTCACACCTCAGCAGTGGGCAGGTGACACCCCACTGCAGGGACTTGCTGTACTCATTCAGGCCAAAGTACAGCTTCTCCCCGCAGCTCGCATCCTCCTGGTCAGACACAAAACAGAGGCGTAAGGATGGGAAGCCCAGGTGAGGCAGGTGGCCCCGCTGCTCCTCCCCTCCTGTGAAGGTCACACGCATCCATGGCAAGTGGCAGCTATGTGGAAGGCTTCTGTTCCTTGCTTTTGTTCAGACACACAAGGGCTCCAGACCCCTCTTTCCGTGTGGGCTGGACGTGGCTCTCTTCTGGCCCCACGCAACCCATGGAACTCTCCAGAGAGGCACTAAAGCTCCTCTGTGACACAGCACTTGCCTGACATCACTTAGTGGTGGCAATGTGTGGCAGCTCATTCTTTGTCAGACAAAATTTATTTAAAATGGAAATATATACTCTCTGTTGCCTTCTTAGAGAAAATCACTCTGCTCTTTGTGGACCTAGCCTCCATGGAGAAGACCTCTGGGTGTCCCCAGAGCTGTGGCAAGTTGCAGCTCCAGAACACTACATGGACTATCACAGTTTATTTATAGCTTTTTGCCTCTTTTCTACATTAGTTGCTACAGAAATTTTTCTTGTTGTCGCATCACTCATGTACTTTAATTGCCTTTTATTATTAGTGCATTGATATGTACTTACAATATGCCCTCACTTATTTTATAACCTAGTTTTCTAAACCACATTAACATAGAGATAGATTAGACACACAGAAGAAGAAGGTTAAAGAACTCAGACTGAGCAGTGTGTGGTACAGCTGGGAATGGAAGCCACCACAGGAAGAAAATCCTTCCTCTCTGGTTCCTTCCATGGGGCCAGAGCTTAGCCACGCAGCCAGCTGAGTCTCGGGGCCCGTTTTCAGGGCCGCCTGGAATCTTCCCACGCACCTGCTCCTCTTCCTGCCACAGCACCTCGACTTGCTAGACGGGGAGCACCCCGTTCACTTTTGCTACTGGTAAAATGATGGTCCCGGTGGCTACCTGACGCCTGTGACCAGGTGGAGCTCTCCTGGGGCTCAAAACAGGGATGGAAGCCAGCAGCCTCCCCACTCTGTCAGGAGCGTTTGTAACATTGCAGATGTAATGGAAGTGAACAAGGCACCGCACCACAGAAGCTAGGGTGCATGCAGCAGTGTCACTGTAAAGACACTTCGGTGTCCTAAGCCACGGCATTTTACTGACCTAGTGCTTATGTGTGTGGCGGGGGGGGGGGGTTAATGATAAAATAATGCCTTACAATACAATAACGCCTTACAATAAAAATAATGCCTGTTCCCTAAACCCAGTTCCCTTTGACACTCAGCCTGCAGCTCCTCTCGGCCTCCGGGTGCCCTCTTTGCCTTTCTTCCAGTCAACTGCTTGCTCCTGACACTGCCCAAGGAAGGTCACCGAGGACTCCCGAGGCCAAACCCAGTGCACTCCCTCGCAGGGCCTTGGCCTTGCGCCTCCTGGCTGCTGTCCTCATTGCTTCCCTCCGCAATATTACCGCACAAGCTGCTTCCATTTTCATGCCTTTGGAAAAAAAAAAAATCCAGATGCACAGGGTGCAGACTCTGATTCTGCATTTGTGCCAGCAAATGTCTCCGCTCAAGGCAGTCGCGCCTGCCCGTCCCACGTCACCCCTCCCCTTGCCGTTTTTTTCTCCATCGAAAAGCATCATCTCAAAAGGGACTGTGACTCTTACTTCCCTCATATAAACAAATCCCAGAAAACTTGCTGGCTCCCTGTCTGCCTGTCACCAGACTGCGGCTCTGAGTTAATTAAGTACTACTGCTCATTCCAACGCAAACGGTCAAGAGAGACACAGCCTTGTCCCTTCTCTGTGGACCAAAAGGATGACCTTCGTCTGCACCCCTCCGTGTATGCCAAGTGGCCTGCAGCTCACCCCGGCTAATGGAAATCACACGCGTCACCACAGCACACTGCAGCCTGTGAAGCGGGCCAGCCAGTAACCTGCCGGAGAGCCACATGTGTGCATGTACCAAAGTCCTACAGCTCATGAGAAGTCTGACACACCTGACATGCCTAGTGCTAGGCAGAAGAGGCCAGGTACAGAAAAAGTGCACACCACATGGTTCCACATATATAAAGTTCCAGACTGGGCAAAACTTTGTCCTAGGAGGCGAGCATAGCGCCAGCCTTCAGTAGGGTGCCCAGGATGGGCACAGCACTCTCTAGACGCTGGTCCTATGCTTTTCCTTGATCTGGGCCCTGGTTTCAGGCATGTGTTCCATTTGTGAAAATTCACTGAACCACACATCAACACTGCTAATATGAAAAATAAAGAAACAGATGTCATGATACTATGCCCTCGACAAAGGAAACCCTGGCCTGCTGTGTAACGTGTGGAAACTCTTGCCAGCGCTCCCACTGTGCGATGCTCCCAGAAGCCTTTGCGTGCCACCAAGTGCCCCCTGTGAACTGGCCACTGCCCCTCCCTGTTCGCTCTGACTGCCACCAGCTGAGCATCTGTGTCCCCCTCATTCTCTGGCCAGGGTGACCCCAGGGCGCTGTCTTCCATGAAGCCTCCTGGGTGCTCTCGAGTGGCAGTGACTTCATGGTTTAGAGATATAGTAGCTGTCTCCACTGACGTTGCTTCTCTGTGGGTTCTGAGAGACCCACCCTGAGGCCACAGACACGGATAGTGCTTTCTTGAGCCGCTCTGCTTCTCTGCCGATTCCTCCTGTAGGACACTGCACTGGCTTCAGGGTGACCAAAGAAGGCGAACTGTCAGGAGCTCGTCTCTGACACGGGGACAGTGAAAAACAGTTTTTCCTTTTCCCTTTGTGGACAATTCCACAGGCATGAATTTTTTTTTTATTTTTTTTATTTATTTTTATTTATTTTTATTTATTTTTTTAACATTTATTGTGTGTGTGTGTGTGTGTGTGTGTGTGTGTGTGTGTGGCCAGCTCAGCCCACCAGGGGGCGCAGCTGGCTGGCATGTGGTGCCGGGAGATCGAACCGTGGTCCCTGTACTTTGCCAAGCTTGTTCCAAGTAGGTGCTTTAGACCACTGAGCCATCTCTCCAGCCCAATGAATTTTTAAATCTTCTGTTACAGAAGAGTATAACTCCCTACCCCTCAGTTACTTTGAATAAATTCCTGAATCTTATCTTTAATCCATAAGTATTCCATTAGACTATCTCTTAACATAAATTTTTTAAAAATGATAACATAATGCCATTTTCTACCTAAAATGCTAAGCACAATCATAGCAATGCCTTTTAAGGACAATACTTTGAGTCTGTTTCTCTATTATTTGAGGAAGTTAAAAATAAAGGGCAGGAGCTATTAGCCTGTCTTCCTGCTACTGGGCTATGAGGAAAGACAAAAGGAACAAGAAAAGGGAGGGTGTTTTCCAGTACCCCCACAATACCCTGGAACATCATAGTGGATTTATTTTTGTATTTTTAGGGAAGGGTTTACAGGGTGTCCAGGGTCTTACTACTAGATCGGACTCTAGTGATCCGCCTGTTTACAGCCTCTGGAGAGCTGGGATTACAGGCACTCACTACCACACCCAGTCTCAATTGCCTTCTTAGCATGCCCTGGGGTGGGGCCGGCATGGCAGGTCCGGGGATCAAAGCCCTGACCCCTGAGCCTCCTTGCAGGCACTTTAATCAGCTGAGCTATTTAGCCGGCCCTATCATATTGGATTTTTTTTCCCCCAGAACCGGGGATTGAACTCAGGCCCTTGCACTTGCCAGGGAAGCGCTTATTCCACTGAGCCATCTCCCCGGCCCTCATATTGGATTTAAAAGGAGATAAAAACGTTTATTTTACTTGACATAATTGTCGGTATTTCTGGACTGCAGTGTGATGTGTACCGGCGCTGAAGCTCAAGTAGGGGCCCAGCAATACATCACACATGCATTGCTTTGGGCTGGGAATATTCAAAATCCTCCCTACAAGCTGTTTCGGAATATTCAACTAATGTCATTGTCATTATCCTACAGTGCCTCTGAACATAGGAAGTTCTTCCTCCTCCCTCCTCAGCAGCTCCTGTGGCCCCCTTCAGCCTGCTCCTTCTCCCTGCAGTCTTGTAACCACGACCCAACGCCCGACTTCCTGGAGGCCAACGTCAGTGACAGCGTGCAGCGTTTGTCACTGCATTTGATTCCCTTGCTTAGCACAGGGACCTCCACTCCACCCGCACTGCTGCCAGCGCTGGAGTTTCATTCCTTTTGTGGCTAGGCATGTTCCGCGGCGCTTTGTTCGTCTGTCTATAGGATGCTTAGGTTGGTTCCATTTCTTGGCTGTTGAGAACACGGCTGATCAACATGCTTGTGCAGAAGTCTCTCCGGCACTGATTTCATGGTCTCTGACCATATTTATAAAGAATGCCCCTCCCCCACACATGTTCTTCCTTCTGTAAACCCAGCCGGCACCACATGGGGGTGCCCCCTGATGGTGCTGGCTGGCGTGGAGGAGACCCCAGTAGGGCAAAGGCCCAGAGCCACCCCTGGGACCACAAGCCGAGGGACCATGTGGGACAGCCAACCGCAGAGAACAAACGGGCAGCACAAATCCACTTCCCAATGGAATCAGATGAGCTGGATGAGATGAAAACGGGATTCGTGTGCAAGACTAGTGTCATACTTCAGCACACCTACTTTTCTGTGTCCCCCGTGTTTAATATTTTTGGATTGAGGATATTTAGCCATCGACATTAGGGATAATATTAATGCTTAACAGCTACATGTTACCACTGCAGTACTGGGGATTAAACCCAGGGCCTCTGTACTAGCCACATCCCTAGCCTCCCCCCTTTTTTTCCTCCAGCCCTTTTTATTTTATATCTTGAAACAGAGTCTCACTAAGTTGCTTAGGCTGGGCTTGAATTTGTAATCCTCCTGCCTTGGCCTCCCAGAGTGCTGGGATTACAGGCATGTACCACCATGCCCAGCTTAATCTATTATGTTTATGAAATTATTTCTTTTTTATGATACAGCTAATAGATTGCAGAAAATATTTTTGAAGTGTTAGGGACTGGCACCAAAAAATATAAAGATATAGAAGGCAGCTCCCGACACAACGGGAGCTCTCCCAGTGACAGAGGCATGCCCACACTGCCATCAGCCTCGAGGACTACCTGAAAGGGGAGTCCATCTGCTGCAGGGACTGACAGTAATTATGGTGACAGAGTGGCCACGCAAGAGGACAATAAAATTTTCAGGTCTAAGTGAAATTAATCCTTCACAAGCACAAAGTTAAATCCAGAAGACTGACGACTCTTTCAACATTACATTAAAAAACTATAGAGGACAGGTAACTTTAAAAAAAAATTTCTTTTATTGATACAGGGTCTTGCTATGCATTCAGACTCATAGTGATCTTCCTGTCTCAGCATTCCCAGTGCGCTGGGACTATAGGCATGTGTCACCATGCTCAGTTTCAGGGCCAGCACGGCACACCTGTGGTTCCAGGGCTGGCACGGCATGCTGTACTGGGGATCAAACGTGAAAGCTTGCACCTTTCAGGCAAGTGTTTATGCCATTGAGCTGTCTCCCCAGGCCCATGGACAGGTAAATTCTACCTGCATGATACTTAGGAATAACCCCTGGGTGAGTTTTCTAGGATGCTATTCTATGGATTTTAGTCTTGCAACACTTGCAATCATCAGGGCATGGCAGGAGGCCTGTGGTCCCAGCTACTCAGGAGACTGAGTCAGGAGGATCTCCTGAGCCCACAAGTTCGAGACCAGGCTGCATAACACGCAAGGCCCCACATAAAAACTATGATCAAGTAGAACTTTAAGGAGATTTGAACTCTTGTGCTCTGTGTTTTAGACTGGGATCAGGGTCAGTGCCAAGTGTCTGCTTGGAGCCTTGGGGACTCACCGTGGGGTCCAGCTGCATCCAGTGTACCTCGTTGCTGGCGCTGATCCGGGACTGCTGGGTCTGCAGGGTGTATGGGAAGGAGCTGACCTGTAGCACCAGGAGGTTGAAAGCTTCCAGGACTTCTCTGCAGTTAATGACTCTGTCCGCCAGGCCATGGCTGGGCTCCCCATGTGACAGGGACCCTGAAATGACACTGTAGGGGCATCAAGAGTCTCATTAGTACTGCCTACTCTCATTATCTAGGTGCAGAGGTGCCTGCCCAAGTAGAGATCCTGTCTTAGATCTTACGTTTCTTGCTTCTCTAAATCAGGAGTAGAAGGGGCTGGGGAGATAGCTTGGCAGTTTAAGCACCTGCCTCGAAAGTATAAGTACCCAGGTTCGATTCCCTGTATCGCACGCCATGCCAGCCCCAGAACCAGGTGTGGTGGCACACACCTGTAGTCCCAGCACTAGGGAGGCTGAGACAGGAGGATCACTGCCAGTCTGAGCTGTGTAGTGAGACCCTGTACCAAATTAATGATTAAAAAATTAATAGATCAATTGTATTTGGGTTTTTTTTTTTGTTTTGTTTTGTTCCTAATGCCTTCAGGGCATGATTGGCTGGCTTGAGTTGTGGGGATTGAACCACAGCAACCTGAGCCTGACTGCTTTGTTGAAGCAGCCACTTAAAGAACTGAGCTAAGGGGCTGGCCCCCCAATTGTATTTGGAAGATAAAAATTCTATGTTCTTTCTTTTTATTTTATTTATTTGTGTGTGTGTGTGTGTGTGTGTGTGTGTGTGGCCAGCTCAGCCCACCAGGGGGCGGGGCTGGCTGGCATGTGGTGCTGGGGGATTGAACCGTGGTCCCTGTGCTCTGCTAAGCTTGTTCTAAGTAAGTGCTTTAGACCACTGAGCCATCTCACCAGCCCTTCTATGTTCTTTCCTAACATTTAATCTGCCAGATTTCAGGCATCTTCTTCCTTTTCTCCTTTTCAGTTAACCAGGCCAGGGGCTTTGAGTCTATGCTGAGAGGGGCCACTTACTTTGAAAGCTCAGCCTGAGCAGGAAAGTCCCTGGCAACACGCGGCCCCTAGTCAGAGACATGCGGCAGCCTACGCTCAGGGTTTTCAACCCACTTCCTGCCTGGGCTGTGAAACAGGCAGAGGGCTGGGCAACCTGGGACCAAGACTGGCACCTCTGATGCTTTTTCACTTCTGTTCAATTTGGGTGCCAGAGAGGCACACAGCCTGAGAACCACTTGCATTTTTTATAATTAAAGGAATCATCTTGGCTACATACGAGGAGGAGGCAGGAGGACTGGCGGTTTCAGCTCAGTCTGGGCAGCTTACAGAGACACTGGCTCAAAGTTAAATAAATAAGCAGTCTGGGGAGGTAGCTCAGTGTTCTCTGGATTCAATCTCCAGTACCAGAACACAAAACAAAAATCAAACCAACAACAAAACCAGCAGCATGATGCTCTCCGGAGGTAAATACAGAGGCCCAGTGCGTGTCCACAGAAAGAGCCTTGGCTTTTAAGGACAAAGAGAAGCAGGTCAGCAAGTTATTCTGGCTCAGAGAACACGAGCAACAGCTGAACAGATGTGTGAAAAGCCATTTTCCTCTATCTCTCCTCCTCTTCCTTCTTTCCTTTCTTCTAATCCACAAGTGCTACAAGATGGTTTTGTTTTGTTTTGTTTTCCAGAACCGGGGATTGAACTCAGACCCTTGGGCTTGCCAAGGAAGTGCTTATTCCACTGAGCCATCTCCCTGGCCCTACAAGATCTTATTTATACCCATGCATGGCTCTAGGTTTGAAATTGTAGAGTTTCAAACACATTCTGGCACCTGAACTGTGGAAGAAAACAAGTGTTTTTGTAATTCTGACTTTTCTACCACAGACCAAAAACTTCCAGATTGTTCATCTTGGTGTCTCTTGCAGGAAAGAGGACCTGCAAATGCTCAGTGCTGCCCCAGGCTTCCCTCTGCTCAGATGTTGAGGACAGTAAGTGCCACGGGGTGAGGATCTCCGGCCACACAGCGCAGTGCGGTCTGGGCACAGGCCTCGCTCCACCCCACATGCAGGACTGTCATGAATGAGTCCACCCGTGACAGCCCAGCCGCTGCTCAGCCTGGAACACGGAGGTTCCTGTGCTCTCTCGTTGTTCTGAGGAATCTCTGCTGCTTTCAAGGGAGGAGAGGGAGGCCAGGAGAGGTGGAGTCCCAGGAGAGGACGGGGAGAAGCAGGGCTGCTGAGAAGGCCTCCCTGGGGGTGTCTATACTGCACCCCTTGCCACCCTCTCTCTGAAGCAAGGTTCCACAATACTCTTTTTTTGCTTTTGTTTTTGAGACAGGGTCTCATTTTGTAGCCCAGGCTGGCCTGGAATTCCCTGTGATCCTCCTGCGTCAGCCTCCAAATGCTGGAATTACAGGCATGCACCACTACACCCAGCTCCCACTACTCTCTCTCTCATATGCCTTTAACCTTGTTTTAACTTAAATTAATTATTTTTTAAAAAGAGTACAAATTAGAATTAAAACAAAAAATTAGGGGCCTGGGAGATGGCTCAGTAGAATAGTGCTTCCCTTGGGGCAAGGGTCCTCAAAAAAAAAAAAAAAAAAAAAAAAAAAAAAAAAAAA